AGTTTGCTCCGCCCCCGCGGTAAGCCCCGCCCACACTTCCCTGGCTGCGGGCCTGAGCCGCCCGGGAGGTAGAGGCCGCAGGGCGCCCACGGCTTGTCACTCCGCAGACATCGACGAGTGCATACTGTTCGGGGCAGAGATCTGCAAGGAGGGCAAGTGCGTGAATACGCAGCCCGGCTACGAGTGCTATTGCAAGCAAGGCTTCTACTACGACGGGAACCTACTGGAGTGCGTGGGTGAGCGCAGATGGTCCCAGTGGCCGTGGGCCAGCAGCCGGGAGACACGCACAACCACCCGACTCCGGGCTGGTTCCCTCCACTCGTGCTTTTCCTCCCCGCAGACGTGGACGAGTGCTTGGACGAGTCCAACTGCCGGAACGGAGTGTGTGAGAACACGCGCGGCGGCTACCGCTGTGCCTGCACGCCCCCCGCCGAGTACAGCCCGGCGCAGCGGCAGTGTCTGAGCCCGGAGGAGATGGGTGAGGCCCGGGCCTGCCGGCTGGGGAAACAGGAGGGGAGCGGGGACTGGGCCAAGCTGTGACCGCCACTCCCATCCATGCCCTCGCTACCCCCTAGACGTAGACGAGTGTCAGGACCCGGCAGCGTGCCGCCCTGGCCGCTGCGTCAACCTGCCGGGCTCCTACCGCTGCGAGTGCCGCCCGCCCTGGGTGCCCGGGCCCTCCGGCCGCGATTGCCAGCTCCCCGAGAGCCCAGCCGGTGAGGGCAAGAGTTGTCTTGGGCCAATTCCAGGGCCTGGGCTGCCGGGTGGAGCCCCGGGGTCGCGGCTCCCCACGAGGCTTGGTTGGAGCAGGGACCTAGTGTCCCCGTTTCGGGCCCCCCAGCTGAAGCCAGGTCTCCCCTGGTAGAGCGTGCCCCGGAGCGACGGGACGTGTGCTGGGCCCAGCGCGGAGAAGATGGCATGTGCGCGGGTCCCCTGGCCGGGCCAGCCCTCACCTTCGACGACTGCTGCTGTCGTCAGGGCCGTGGTTGGGGAGCCCAGTGTCGCCCTTGCCCGCCACGCAGCGCTGGTGAGCCTCCCCAGAGGGGTTTGCGGAGTGCTGGGGCAGGAGCCAGGGTGCTGCTTTCGCGTGGCTGACCGCCCCCGCTCCTCCCAGGGTCCCAGTGCCCAACGTCACAGAGTGAGAGCAATTCCTTCTGGGACGCGAGCCCCCTGCTGCTAGGAAAGCCCCCTCGAGGTGAGTATAACGGGAGGGCACAGAATAATAATGTGGGGGCGGGGGGTCCCCAACCATCTGCTGGCAGAGGTGAAGGTTGATGTCTGCATTTTCCCCACCGGCACAGAAGAGGACAGCTCGGAGGAGGACTCGGACGAGTGCCGCTGCGTGAGTGGCCGCTGCGTGCCGAGGCCCGGCGGCGCCGTGTGCGAGTGTCCGGGCGGCTTCCAGCTCGACGCCTCTCGTGCGCGTTGTGTCGGTGAGCCGGCCCGCGGGGGTGGGACCGGCCCCCAGGCCAAGACCAGAAGTTGGTGGAGGGGCCGGGGCCAAGGCTGGCAGCCCGGGGGAGGCACGGGGCCACACGCTAAGGGGGCTGCGTGCTCTGGCACCCTGGCGAAGCTCGCACCTGTCGCCCCCACCTGCAGACATCGATGAGTGCCGAGAACTGAACCAGCGTGGGCTGCTGTGCAAGAGTGAGCGCTGCGTGAACACAAGCGGGTCCTTCCGCTGCGTCTGCAAAGCTGGCTTCGCACGCAGCCGCCCACACGGGGCCTGTGTGCCCCAGCGCCGCCGCTAACGAGGCCCTCAGCCATCAGCGAGGGGTTCCCGCCTGACCCTCGGGGTGAACTCAGTCTCTCACCTGTGTTCCCACTCGGGGCTCGGACCCAGGAACTCTCCGGGGGTCTTAGACCCCTTCCTGCGCCCCGAGTTCTGAGGGCGCCCTTACAGGCGCCGCCCAGTTCGCAGGTGGAGTTTGGGACTCTCAGGCACTGAGGTCCTTCCTCCCAGAGGGCGTTTCCTGGAAACTGATAAATCAAATCATGCCTCTGCACTCTCGGCTTGTCCAAGCGAATTGATGTTCCCGTCTGTGGTGGGCGTGGACTTCGCGGGGCAGCGCCACACCCAAGCCTTCTGGGAGGGGCTACACTGAGCCCAGCACAGGGGTGTGAAATAGAATTTATTGTGGCTCTGATTATGTACACGTGAGATGTGCCTGGCCGGGCTGGCCGGGCTGGCCTGGTTTGTACAATAAATACATCCGCGGGGCCTGCTCTCCGCGGCTGCGAGCGCCCATATGGCAAGTTCAGTCCAGCTTCCGAGTTCCCAGCTTCATGGGGCCCTTGGCTGCCTTCTTTTCAGCGCGTTTGGCTTCCATCTCCCGCCGACGCTCCTCACGCTTCTTCCGGGCCAGCTCGGCCTTCCCTTGCCCTGGGAGCAGGAGGAGGAGGAGGAGGAGGAGGAGGAGGAGGAGGAGGGCGGAGGGCTTCAGGACCACTGGGGCCTCAGCTTCCCAGCCTGCCCCTGCCCCCAGTCTGTCTGCCCGGACGGGAAGGGGAAGCACTCACGGCTCTCGGTCTCCAGACCCTCCCAGTTGTCATCGCCCCATGAATCAGGTCTCGGCTGAAAGGGAAGTGTGGTTGGAGTGCAGGTGGACTCCCGGCTGAGGTCCACCCCGGTCTGAACCCTCATGGGAAAAGGTGCCAAGTACCTGAGCGCTGGTCTCCCGGCGTGACGACACAGCAGCAAAGGGATCACCTTTGTCACTGGGCTCCGAGCCACCCCAGTTATACTCGCTGGCCAGCCGTGTGCCCTCAGGCGGTGGCTCCGGGGGACTTGGCTCCTGCCAGCCCTGCTCCCACGAGCCCTCGGCTTCCCAGCTGCCCCAGTCTGACTCGGATTTTGGGTCCAGGTTGCTGGTCTGCAGAAGATGGGGAGGTAGTGCCCAATGGTGGGGGGTGCCCAATGGCTGGCCTCCCCCTCCCCCATAGGCACACCACTGTCCCACCCTGCTTACCTGCCCGGCACGGCTAGCTCGGCCCCCAGTACTCCAGTCCTCCTGCTGGGCCAACACCGATTCGGCCTCCTGCTGCAGTGTGGGAAGGAGAGCGCGACCATAGGCGCTCCAGCCCCCATGCAAAGGGCAAGGAAGCCTGCCTGCCCCTTCCCAGCCACAGACTCCACCCTTTCTTCTTTGGCATTCCATCTCGCTCCTCAAGCCTTGCTTCCCATCTATAGAGTGGACATGCCATCACTCCTCTGAGGCTGGGGAATGAGATCTAGATGTTCCACACCGTTCCCCACAGCCTCAGACCCGAGACTGTTGTCAGCAGATGGGGAAATCGGGCCCCAAGGTCTGCCCCCATTCCCATCAGGGTAGCCCCACTCCATCCTCAGCCCATCCCCCACAGGCCTGGGGGTGGCCTCTCCTTACTGACTCCCGGAGCTACTGGAGGACAGGGAGAAGAGAGTGAAGAAGACAAATGGGCTGCCCCCAAAACCGCCACCGTTTCCATCCCCGCTCCCAGGGGCCCCTGGGGCTTAGTGGGGACAGCTGCCAACTCTTACCCACAAGGGCCACTTGTGACACCTACTCAGCAGGGATGCTGTGCAGATGAGGACAGGCGTGACCAGCCAAGCCCACCTGAGCTCCTTGAAGGCAGCCTTAACCTTTGACCTGGAGTTACCTGGGAGTCGCCTGGGGAGGCCCCCTCAGCCCCACTCACCTCCAGGCTGCCCCAGTCTTCATCATCCCATCTGTCGGCAACACTGCTGTCCTCCGCTGTGTCTGTGCCCTCCTCTTGCGTCTCCCAGTGGCCTGAGGTTGTGGATGTGGCAGGGACGACGGCGGGGGCCGGGGCAGGAAGTCCTGAGGAGCAGAGGCTCACTGAGGTCCCGGATACTGGGCCCCAGGAAGGTCTCAAAACAGGGCAGAGGTTTCTGGGGTCAGAGGGAAGGTGCAGAGAGCAGCTCGTGAAGGGACTAGACCCCGCCTGTCCCCTACGTCCCCACTGCCACCCCCGGAGAAGCCAGACAGTCATAGCTCCTAGGTGCCAGCACCCCCAAGCCCTCTCAGTCACTGATGCGGCCACTCTGGGGCACACTCACCCTCGGGCGTGGGTCTCTGGGGGACGTTGGTCTCAGCCGGGGCAGCTGCTGGGTGTGCACGGATCAGCTTGGACGTGAGCGAGGAGACCCCTGTGACAGCCCAGCCTGCCCAGCTGGCTGCGGCTCCTCCCATTCCAGGGCTGGAGGCGGCATGGACATCCTTCTCTGGGCAGTGTCAAAAGAGACAAGTATAGTCACCTCAGGCTCTCATGGGGAAGGTGACAGGAGCGCAGTAACGGACACAGAGCAACCTGTAGTGGCCCCCCTTCTCCAGGCCTGTGCTCCCCCATCTCTAAGATGGGAGGGGTGGGGAGCAGTGGTGTCGGGTCTGCTCTCCGAGGTCGTTCTAGCTTTCAGAGACTCCAGTGACATGGAAGGGGGCTCTGACAGGTAACAGTCAAGGATGTGATGGAAGAAGAGGGCACACGACTGGGGGCCACTCACCCACTTCCGCTAGCTGGGTTGGGTCCTCTGACACAGACTCCAGTTTGGACAGGAAGCTTCGAATGGCCTTGAAGGCCTAGGGGGTAGGAAGGGGCAAAGCTGGGGACTCCAGGGTTCCCATGAGTCCGCGGGGCCAGCTAGGGCCCAAATGCCCCCCTGGAGCCTCCGCTCCAGGGCCCGGGCCCAGCTGTGCCTCACCTGGTCTCGCACGGATTTCTCAGGATCCACGGTGAGGCCACAGAGCACAGGCAGGATCTTGTGGGCACAGTCATTCATCGAGTAGAGGTTGTGGGTGGCAGCAAAGCCCAGGACACCCGCCACCCGCGAAGGTGCAAATGGGTCTTTGGTGGCCCGGCTGAAGGCAGAGGTGAGGACCCTGTGTCGGGTCTGGGGTGGGGCAGGAGAGAGGGCTCCTGAGTTCAGGATCAGTACTGGGACCCAGAACTCCCAGATCTACTTCCCGGAGCAGAGGCCATCCACGGGCTCCCCCAGAATCTGAAAAATGTGAGCTAATCACTAACAAACGAGGAGAATTTTTCCTGAAAACTCGATCTGGGCTTCTCCTCCCAGATCACCCTGTTCGTGCTGCCTCAGGACAACAGGGGCTGGAGCCGCTGCCCTGGGGCCGAGGCCTGGGCCGCCTTCACCATTCATTCATTCCTGTTAACTGTCTGGGCGCTGCAGACATCTGCGTTTACAAACCCTGGCTGAGGGAGTGCACACAGGCCAAGGGGGCCAAGCAAGCCTGGGTTCAGTTCCCAGATCCACCACCTACTGGCTGGGTGACCTGATACATGCCTCAATCTACCCTCACACATCTGGGCTGGGAGCACCCAGGGCCTAGGTCTCGGGGAGGATGGCAGCCCCTGCACAAGGAGGCCTGGCCCTGGAGGACACTGTGGCCCCGGGGACAGTGAGAGAACCCCCAGGATCCATGTAGGGCACTCACACTGGCACTGAGGTAGGAACCGATTTTGCCCAGGCAGACGGTGGTATTGCAGCGGATGGGGCCCTGTTCATCCTTGGCCTGCAGCCGCGCGAAGTGCTTCATCAGCTCCACATTGAGGTTGGCCTCGTTCAGCTTTGGGGCCAGGAGCAGCATGGACTGTGGGTGCAGGAGTGTGGAAACTGTGGGCCACGGCCGGCCAAAAGACTACATGCAGAAGTGGCTTCCGGGGAGGGTGGGTGGGCCAATAGTGGCACTGGGTGCTGAGGGAACCTCCCAAACCTACCCCCCAACCTGGTCCTGGCCCCTACCCAGAATGCCGTGGAAGGGGACGCTTCTCTGTCCCCTTTACAGCAAAACCTCTGAAGTTTGTGCACACCCTTGTCTCCCGTCCTTCTCCCTCCGTTCTCTCTTGCGTGCACTCTACTCACGCTTCTACAGAAACACCGCCCCCCACCCGCTCTCTACCAACTGGCTCCAGGAGGTGACCAGGGACCTTTGTGTTGCTAAATCCAGTGGCCGATTCTCCGTCCAAACCAGCTGTGACCCCTCAGTAGCTCTGACACTCCGGAGTTCTCCTTCCTCCTTGAAACTGCCATCTCTGGTCCTCCAGGACCCTGCCCTCTCCTCACTCTCCTCCGACCTCATCAGCTGCTCCTTCTCGGTCTCCTGTGGCCGAGATCTTACGGTTCAGACCCCCACAGGTGCTCACCAGGCCTCTTCTCTTTTCACCTCACCCTAGGTGACCTTACCCCTTTCGTGGCTTTGAATGCCCTTGTTAGCTGACAAAGCCCAGATGAGCAGCTCCGGCCCAGACTTCTTCTCTGAACTTCACACATATATAACCAGCGGCTGAATAGACATCTGTACCTGCCTAACTAGACCAACCTCCTCCCGCAAACCTGAGGCTCCCAGTTTCTCAGTAAATGGCAACTTAACCTTCCAGGTGCCCAGGCCAGAAACCTCGGAGCCACACTTGGCTCTGCAGCCATCCATCAGCACATACTGTCGGCCCCACCTTCGGAATGTGGCCCCTTCTGTCCCCCCACTGCCACCTCTCAGATCTGAGCCACCATTACCTCTCAGACTCCACCTCTCACAACCACGCCCCTTCAGCCATGCTAAACCTCTTACTGCTACTTCTACACTGGCCTCAGGACCTCTGCACATGTTCCTTCTGCAGGGAACCCGTTTCCTCCAGATCTCCACCTACCTTGATCCCAAGCCTCCTTTCCTTAAATGATACCTCCTTAGCAAATTCTTCCCTGATCGCTGTTTTTAAAACTGCAAACCCTTCTCTT